ACCTTCTCCACTATAATATATCTTCTTTATTAGATATTATATGCATATAGTTATAACTCTCATAATTTTCAACTTTTCATATTCGTAACCCTTAAATATTAAATATAAAAGTTAGGATACCTTATGACATTCCTCCATTATTTTTCTATATAAATTCATATTTTTTGTTTCATTCTACCCAAAGTTATCCTTTATTTTCACTATAGTATTATATTTATGCTTTTGTTTGGCTTGAGAAAAAAGAAGAAAACTTTTGAATAGTGATAGACTTGTAGTGATATTGACAAGAGCTTAGATAATTATGCATTGATTTCCCTTTCCTTCTATTTTTTAATGATATGTTTATTGTACTATTTCTTCTTTCTCTCTTTTTTTTCTTATGTATATCTATGATGCCTCTTAAATTTAATTTTTATATGAAGAAAGCTTTTGAATAGTGATAGATTTGTGAAGTGAATATCAACAAGAGTGATGCCTCTTTGCTTTTGTTTGACTTGAAAAAAAAAGAAGCTCTTGAATATTTATAGGTTTGTGAAGTAGTTATGACAAGATTTTAGATGATTATGTATTGATTTTATTTTTCCTTCTATTTTTAATTTTAATGATTAAAGTCGCATTGATATGTGTATTGTATTCTTTCTTTCTTTCTTTCTTGTGAATCTTCATGATGCTTCTTATAGGAACTTCTTATCCTTGTAAGTCTATAATTTCTTTTAGTTCAAATTAGTATTATAAAATACTAGAGTAGATCCTAATGAGATATCACTTTCTCACGAATTTATCTTAATTATGGTTGAAATTCTGTTATAAATACAAATCAAATTTATAAATCTTTTCTCTTGGCTCAAATTAGTAACTTAATTATGTTAAAAATCTGATACTAATCAAATTTTTAAATATATAATTAATTACTTAAAAGAAATAAAATTTAATAAAGTAATTTTTATTTGTTGTTTATTATGTAAGTTCTTAAAGCTATCGATAAATATGCCTACATAAAAAGTTTAAAAGATAAATATAAATAACATGGAGGGAGAGATGATGCGGTAATTCTAAAAAAGTTTATATACACAAAGAGAAACATTTATATTATTTGAAATAATTGAGATACAATAATTGTTATTGATATTATAAAGAAAGGGTATAACTTACGTTTTCATCATAAGGTCAAGTTGTATTGTTTATTGTTTTCTACAAAATTCAATTCATTAAACATAATTACATTTCATATTTGGTCAGAGGAGGGCGGAAAAGATCGAAATGAATAAAGTCAAATTTAACAACACAAATGAATAACATAAAGTATTAACTAAGCATAAGTTTGTTTATACTGGGGGATTATAAATTAGTACTAGATTTATCTCTAAAATTCAAAAATAAGAAGATGATGTATGTATATTTAGTCAAATATATATTATATCTGGATTAATAGCCTAAATATAGAATAAATATGAGGAGGACATTTTGGGTCACCATTGTTTGAGTTCATTTTGGCTTACATGCTCATAATGTTTTGAAATTATAATCAATTAGTTGACTGACTTTCTAAAAGAACAAGAACGCGAATTATATTTTTTCACGTTATAATAATCATTATTCTTCGTTAAAATTAATTGGTACGTAGAAGTTTCAAAAACATTACTCACTATTTAATTGTAATTACATTAAAAGTATACTAATTATATTTAACAAACCCAATATATATAATCTATTCTTTAAAAGTATATTTATTTATTTCTTCTTCTATTGTTTTTTGTACTTTGAAAAATAGTGTATTTATTTTAAAATCATTATAAATTACAAGAGGTTATTTTACATCTAAAGAAGATGATTACATGTAAAAAAAAATTCATGATTTTTCTTTATACATAATATTAAAGAAAAATTATTTTATGGAACCAAATTATACATCTATACATTTATAGGAAGGTATAACATAATTATTTTATATTCTTTTTATGTAAGAAGGAACTCTTAAAAATTATTTAAAAATTTCAACTAAAATTATTAAATATACATAAAAATACATTTTTTATATGTATAATATCTCTTCTATTCAAATAATATTTAGTAAATTATTTATGTTATTGATGACTGCGCGAAGCGCGGATGAATTCACTAGTATACAATAAAATATAAAGACCAAGACGAATATTCCATGAAATTAGAACCATACTCAATGGCAACGTAAATTTGTAATTATTAAAAACATTTAAATAGTACTAATTATTATTCAATTTTCTACAATATTTTAAGGAGAATATTTATGATCATGTAAAACAAATGGAAAAAAGCATAAAAATAAAATAAAATATAATTCATCCCTCACCAACCCCCTACACAGTTACCCCATCCTACTTCTGAATTTTCTATCACATAAATATAAATCTAAATAAAAACCACACATGATCTATCTTTTTTTTCTTCTTCTTATATATAAATAAATAATAAAAATATAAATACTTGTATATATCTATATCTTTGTCAGTTGGACTTTTTCAAGCTGGCTGCTGAGCCTACATTTCTGCTGTTTACCCATCTGTGTGCTCTAAAGTTGTTGCCAATGGAGTTGGTGAGTCATTTAATAACTTTTTTCAAATAAAGGGAAAATAAAATGATTAACAATTTGAAATTGAGTTGGGTTTTCTCTTCTCCACTCACCAAACTTTGTTAAGACTTCCACCAACCCACATTGCCTCTTTTACTCTTATAAAACTAAAAAAAAACACTTTTTTTTGTTGTTTAAATTCTTTTTTTTTGTGGGTTTTGATTCTTGAATTGTGGGTGTTTGAGATTTTTTGTTTTTTTTGTTGTTGTGGGTGTGGGGTGGTTAGGTTGTAAATTCTGGAGTGAAGAAGATGGAGGGTGAAGCAATGAGGAAGAATCAAACTCTAATTTGTGCACCAATTATGGCTGATTCAGTGGATCAAATGTTGATTCTTATGCAAAAGGCTAAAACTAGTGGGGCTGATCTTGTGGAGGTTCGAGTGGATAGCTTGAAAAACTTTAATCCTCGCCCAGATATTGATACCCTGATCAAACAGTGCCCTTTGCCTACTCTCTTCACTTACAGGTTTCAATTCCTAATTCCTGCTTCCATGTTTGTGTCTTGTGAAACTGCCATATCTGAATTGAGTTGTTAAAGTTTGTCCTTTTTGTGTTTTTTTTGTTATAGCTAGAAGAATTGGAAAACAGAAATTAAAAACTTTACATAAAAAATATCCGAGACCACATAATTTGTCTTCAAGTAATTTAATCTCCTCATTGTTCCCGAGGTTATGAATTATTTTCTCTCAAGATAAAATGGATATAACTATTATTGGTGTAGCGGTTCCTCAAACGCCAATAACTTCGTCGAACTCAAAGTCGGTAGCAAATCACACAAAGACTACAGTTATGTTTGTAAGAAAATATGTAGAAGAAGTTCAGAAAATTCGATGTAGAAAATTGAGAGAAATCAATAACCTCCTGCCACTGAGACTTCTTCATTCTCATCAACAAGGTATCACGCGTGATACCTGAAAAGAAGAATAAGAGAACTACTGATTGGGAATTCTAATAAAACTTGATGCAAACTAGGATGACTGTTGCTTGCCTGCATTAAAAAATATTGTTTCCCTTGTATATTTGGGGTAAAAACATGTTCCTCTCTAACTAGAAAGTTGCAAAGATTTTTTTGGATGCTTAATGCCACAGCACAAACGTTAACTTGTTGGTATTATCTTGGTGCAAAATTGATTAAATGATCTTTTTGACTCGTTCCCACAAAAAAAAAAGGTGGTAGCGAACCTGTATTATTGATCAAGATATCAACTGTTCCCCATCGATCAACCACCTGCAGGTGTGATACTTGTGAGGTGCAATTCAGCTGGCAACAACTGTGATAAGATCCATTCTTAACTAATATTACTAACAAAAGAGAGAGCTTACAGTTTTCATCATGGATTCTACATCTTCTTCTTTCGAAACATCGCCTCCAAAAGCCACTATTTATAGTCAACAAAGGGTAGTATGAACAGTTGCTACTGTGCCTTATCCGAAAAGTCACAATCCATTCAATGTGAAAGTGTACCATTCAAATTGCATCCTTTCTCTTGGTGTCTTTTCGGGAAAAAACTTCATTTCCCATTCACACCTTTTAAAACCCAACGAGATTAAGGATGATGAGTAAGATTTATCCTTTTTTCCTTGGTTTGCTTTGAAATCCAAAAAATAGGAGAATAAAGCCTGGTACAACAACAACATACTTAGTGTAATCTCATAAGTGGGACATATCATGTTGATACAAATATAATGAGCGCTGCAACATAGCTTAGACCTTCCTAAGGGCAATTACTTTTTCCCTGGTTGGTCCCTTTTCACTTTCTACTGTTACAATGCATGTTCGTCGACCTGCAGCTATGTTTTGGGCGTGGGGCAGGGGATAATATTAATACAGTACTATCTGACATATCCTGTAGATACACATATAAGGAGCTCTACAACATAGCTTAAATAAAGGCATAGGGTATGGTTACTTGCTACTTTATCTTTTTTGTTCCGGAACTTAGAAAGGCATTGCATTTTTCAATGGCACTAGGTTCTTTTGTATATAATTATGTTCTGATCGTTTTGTATATAAATTTTGTCCGGTTAACTTTCTCAGCACTGGCTTTTTCAGGACACCAATTACATGAACTCGAAAAGATATTGATATTTTCATCTGGCTTATTATAACCTTAACAAGCCATCTTCTTTATTTATATTGATATTCTTGTTTGTCAAGAACCTGTGCTTCATTTTTGTGATGCATGTTTTCATATGGGAATTTTGTGAACCACACTTTAGCAATACAGGCGGGATAAGTATGTGCTGAATTCGGTGTTATGTCTATTGTAAATTTTGACATTATAAAACAAGGACACTTCTATATCTTCATGCAAGACATCTGAGTTCAACCTTATGATAGAATTTATTGCAGTGTCTGTTAACTTGTGATAAACAAATATTAGTTCTCTTACAATATACATGTAAATATAGCTCTACTTTCTGATTTGTAGTTCCTCTCTTACTTCTCGACATTGGAAAGTGCATTATAAAATTTCCGAACTTTACCTACTTTGCTAGGCCCATTTGGGAAGGTGGTCAGTATGCTGGTGATGAAATGAGTCGATTGGATGCACTTCGATTAGCGATGGAGTTGGGAGCTGATTACATTGATGTTGAGCTAAAGGTAAATTTCACGCTAAAATGGCCCTTCCCACCTTATCCGTTAAAAAAAGAAAAGAAAAGAATGATGAGCTTTCCCTGAGTGACTGCTGCTAAGTGTCCTCAATGGAATTGATCAAGTAAATGCATAAAAAGGAGAATACAAGGCCAATCAATCTAGTTGCTTGACGTTCAGATCTCCAAAAACTTGAGTAGTTTTGTATTGTGACGTTGAGCATTACTTTTGAGATGTATGGCCTAAACTGCTACTTGCATGAAGGAATATTCAGTCACAGACCCATTTTGCCAACTAAGAAACCCTTCCTGTTGGAATATTTGATATATAAAGCTTTGCTAACTTAACATCAACGTTTCTCATACTTTGAGTCTTCATTTGTTCTTCCTTTTTGCTTTGACGGATGCTTCGTCAATTAACAGTAATCATTGCTTTTCTTATGCTGTTTGTTTCTTTTTTCTCCTCCTCCTTTAGGCTATTGACGAGTTCAACAATGCCCTGCATGGAAATAAATCTGCAAAATGCAAACTTATTGTTTCTTCTCACAACTATGAAAGCACACCGTCAGCTGAGGATCTTGGCAATCTAGTAGCAAGAATACAGGCATCTGGAGCTGACATTGTGAAATTTGCTACAACTGCACAGGATATCACTGATGTTGCACGTGTTTTCCAAATTACTGTTCATTCTCAAGTAAGCGGCGTAAGTAGTATAAGCATAACTTGTGTTCAAATATGCATGGTGATACATCATGGTTTTTCCTCAGCTGGATTTGGTGCATAATAATAGCAGCTGCTTGGCTGGAATCTAGAAGCTGGCTGCTTTTTGCTTTTTGTATTAACTATTAAGCCATACATGCCAATAAGTTAGGTATAGCAGCATAAACTTATGGCTGAGAATAACTTCTTATTAAAAAAAAAGTGATCGAGAATAACTTCCAAATTAACTCTCTTTCTCTCCCGGTGAAAATGGTGGGGGTTTGTTAAATTGTCTTAATTTATCTGATGATTTTTTCCATTGCAAGAAAAATTTAAAGGTAGATAGTAGAATTGATGCCTTGGAGACATTTTATCAAATGAATGGCATCCTGATATCACTTGTCAATTAAGGTGCCTTTTAGTACATCAAGCGATTAGGATCGTGTTATGTGCTGTTGGGTTGCTGGATTCTAGTGAAGGCTGGTGGATTCTTATATGTGTTAACAATTATGTTTTAGTTCAAACGTAATTTTCACTGAAATGATTTAGCAAGTAGTGATAAGGTGATGATTGGCTAAAAGAATTATATGTTCTCTTAAATACAAAAGTTTTCAAAGAATTATATGTTCAAAAGTAATTTTCACTGACATGTTTTCAGAGATAGCTCTTCCCTTTATGAAACCACTTTGGTTTTTTGGAGATGATATTTGGCAGTAAGTTGGCTAGTCTAGAGTTAAGGATTTTAGAAATAATCTTGGATGATACATTGCACAGGCTAATGGGTCTGAGATCAGAATTTTTTTGAGGGTGATCTATTTTAGGGATCATAATAATACAAGTGTAAGTATAGAACTTGGTAAGAGCGGATCCCCGGAAGAAAGCCTTGACAGCATTGTGGACCTCAGTAGAGTTGATATCCCAACATTTATGGTAGAACATTCCACTAAGACCATCAGGCCCAGGTAAACTGTCAGGATCAATAAATAGCATGCTTTCAGTCACTTCCTGCACGGTAGGAATGACACTCAACTTGTTATTTTCTTCCTCAGTGATATAACTTTCAATACAGTTCAGGGCACTGAAATCAGTAGTATCAGAAACTTGAGCAAAAAGGTTCTTATAATAGTTGACCGCTCCTTCAGCAATATTAGTGGTCTCCTTCTAACCAGTTTCCATGATCATCCTGGATTCTTCTGATATTCAATTTCCTTCTGTTATCTTTGATGGTGGCATGGAAGTAAGCTGCGTTCGCATCACCCTCATTCATCCATCTGACTCTTGCTTTTTTTTCTGAGCATATAATCCTGAATTTTTAGGTATCTAATGAACTCAGCTTTACATTTAGATAGTTCAAATCTATTCTCAGGAGTGTTATTAGCAATGCAGTTGTCTTCCATATCCCTAATCAATGATTCCAATCTCTTAGGCTCCTCATAAATATCACCAGAAGTTTGCTTAGACCAGATACTGAGAGCTTTAGTGGTGTTCTTGATTTTTTGGTGGAGGATGTAAAGAGGGTTCCATAAACTTGTTCATCCCAACTGTTTTGGACAGTTTGATGAAAGTCGGGGTGATCTGTCCAAAAGTTAAGGAATTTGAAATATTTAATGCCTTGGATGTCTTCATGGAGGATTTTCACTAGAAGAGGGGCATGGTCTGAACAAGATCTGGATAAGTGTGTGACAGTGGTGCTGTTGTACTCGTCAAACCAGTTAGAATTGTAGACTAGCCTATCAAGTCTTTTCCAAATAGTATTGGGGGGGGGGGGATAC